TATTTTAAATAAGATCCGAAAGCCACATTCTAAATATGTCTGTAAGGCGTAGCAATGAAAACCTTGCAGCCATACCACCTGCCGGTGAAGGTTTCTTTTGTACAATTTGTAATGTAGTCACTGAGGGCGAAATACTTACCACACCTTGTAGACATCAATTTCATAGAGAGTGTCTATTAACTTGGTTAGACAGCAATGAGACTTGTCCTTTGTGCCGACAGCACCTAACTCGATCAGATATAAATCCAGAATCGGTGGAAGCAAGAGCTCAGGCTTTGCAGGCACCAAGCGCAGCAACAGCAGGCAGTTCAAGATCTGGAGCAATACCCAGAACTCGACCCGCCACTAGGAACAGTGCGAGAAACGTACAAAACCCTTCTAATTTACCAAGGCCACAACAGAATACGCCAAACCGCGAATCAGTGCGTCAGGGTGTAGCAGCAATTCCCCAAAACATAACGGAAGAGCGTGTGCAACAAATAATAGCTAGCTCAGTAGATCACCTTAGGGCAAGCTTAGTTGGAGCAATTACAGATCAGATTAGTGCATCTCTAGCTAATATAAATCTGGCATCACACGGGCGAGACGCTCCTGCCGAGCCCCAGCTAGAATGGGAACATGAAATACCCAGCTCATTGCCTCGTTTAAGTAACTTTAGGGATGCCCAAAGAAACGATTACTCAGTTGAAAGACCGGATAGAGTTTCTAGTGTCATTTCCAATTGGCATTTGAAATTCAGTGGCTCAAACAACGATATTCCGATCGAAGATTTCATTTACAGAGTTAACTGTTTAACAACGCAGTGCCTCAATGGAAACTTTTGATTTACTATTTCAGTTTGCAAACCTTTTATTTTCGGGTCCAGCACTAACGTTCTATTGGCGAGTGCATCGGAACTCAGATGTGATGACTTGGTTCAGTTTGTGTGACCGACTGAAAGATAGGTACCAAGATCAACGAACTGATAGGGACATCAAAGATGCCTTACGTAGGCGAAAGCAAGGTAATAATGAGTCATTTGACGAGTTTTTAGATGCGATGCTTACCATTGCGGATGCCTTAAGAGAACCTTTAACAGACTCGGAAATAACCACTGAAGTTAGGTACAATCTACGATCCGATTTGAAACACGAACTGCTTCACGTATCCACCCCAAGTCTAGCAATCCTACGAAAGGAATGTCATAGGCATGAAGAGTTCTTTAGAGGCTTTAGATCAAGGCCAAATATACGTACCAATCCTAGAAATTTCGTTAATATTGTACAGTTTGAGGAAGAAGTTGTAGAAAATCTGGAGGATGAATCGCCCCAAGAGATATGTGCCGTTCGTACTTCCGACAAAATAAAGTGTTGGAACTGCGACGAGACAGGACACAGATATCAAGACTGTCTGAAAGTCCGACGCATCTTTTGTTACGGATGCGGAGCAATCAATACATACCGGCCTAGCTGCCAAAAATGCTCACCTTCCTCGGAAAACTTGACAAGGGATATTCGTCACCTTCCCCAGTCGAATGTCCCCAACTAGAGTCCGATTCAAGTTCAAAGGGGACATGTAAGTCTGAAATATTACTCCCCAATCTTTTATTTAATTTCACACCCTACCATGTCCGAATGCAAAACATTTTGAAAGAAAACCTCGGTCAGCCGAATCGCGTGCACTCCCGCACACGTTCAGCAGAACGCATCCGAACTTATTACAGGAATAAAAATGTCCTAAAGAAGTTTACTATCTCAGCCTTAGACTATAAAAGCAATGATATTAGACCATTTTCTCATATTGAAATGTTAGGAGAATTACATTTAGCACTTTTAGATAGCGGAGCGAACAAAAGTGTAATCGGTGGCGAATTAGCCCAACATATTCTCAAGCAAAAAGGTCAGTTAATACCTATGAAGGGAATGGTTAAAACCGCTGACGGCCAAACTCAAAAAGTTGCCGGAACATTTCCCGTAAACGTTAGTTTTAACTCGATGCAGAAAGTTATAGAGTTTCTAATCGTTCCATCTATAAACCAAAACGTTATATGTGGTATGGATTTTTGGAACGAATTTGGAATTTCAGTTTCAATTACAAGTCACATTAATGAACTTCAGGTAGATCAGTTTGAACACTCCGATAAATTGAACCTTAATAAATCGGAATTAACGAGATTGAAGTCTATTATTAATCTGTTTCCTTCTTTTGAAAAAGACGGACTTGGAAAAACACTGTTAGTCGAACATTCGATCGATACGGCAAATGCTAAACCCATAAAACAGAGATTTTATCCCTTATCTCCGGCGAGAGAAAAATTACTTTGCAACGAAATCGACCGAATGATATCCCAAGACGTCATAGAAGAAGCTCCAGCTTCACCGTGGTCCTCTCCAGTGACCCTAATTGTAAAACCCGGAAAAGTCAGATTTTGTTTGGACGCACGAAAGTTAAACTCAGTTACAATAAAAGACGCTTACCCAATGCCATTATTAGATGGATTAATAAGTCGTCTTCCTCCTGTTCACTGTATCTCAAAAATTGATTTAAAAGATGCATTTTGGCAAATCGCTTTAGATCAGCAATCGCGGGCCAAAACCGCATTCACGGTACCCAACCGCCCACTGTATCAATTTAAGAGGATGCCGTTTGGGTTAACCAATGCTCCACAAACCTTATGTCGTCTCATGGACTTAGTCATTCCATTTAAGCTCAAATCTCATGTTTTAGTATATCTGGATGACTTGTTAGTCTTGTCCTCCAGTTTCGAAGATCATTTATTGCATCTTGCAGAGGTGGCAACTCAGCTACGAAAAGCTGGGCTGACTATAAATGTATCCAAAAGCCAATTTTGTTTGAAGCAGGTCGAATATCTAGGATATATTGTTGGAGAAGGAACCCTGCAAATAAATCCCGAAAAAGTTCGAGCAGTATCCGAATTTCCAGCTCCGAAAACCCAACGACAACTTCGAAGGTTTTTAGGAATGACGGGCTGGTATCAGCGATTTATAGCGCAGTATTCCACAGTGATCTTTCACTTGACAGAACTCCTAGGAAAGAAACCATTCGAATGGAATGAGGACGCTGAAGCAGCATTTCAAGAAATAAAGTCAAGACTTTGCTCAGCTCCTTTACTGGTACATCCTAATTATGCAAAAGCGTTTATCATACAATGCGACGCCTCTCTACATGGAGTTGGTGCCGTTTTATCGCAGTGTGACGAATCAGGGATTGAAAGACCTATTGCATACATGTCAAAGAAATTAAATAAAGCGCTAAGAAACTACACAGTAACAGAACTAGAATGCCTTGCCGTTATTTTAGCCGTGAAAAAGTTTCGAATGTATGTAGAGGGTCACCCGTTTAAGATCGTAACTGATCATGCGAGCCTTCGCTGGTTGATGAACCAATCGGACCTTAGTGGCCGACTGGCCAGATGGGCCATCAAGCTCCAAGGATTTACGTTTGACATAGAGCATCGCAAAGGATGTGAAAACGTAGTTCCAGACGCATTGTCGCGATCCTTTGAAGACGAAGAGCCTATAGCCTCGATAGAACTCGAAACCCTGCCTAGAATTGATTTAGAATCCAAAGCTTTTCAATCCGATGAGTATTCTACACTCAAAGAAAAGTTTAAGGTTGCGAATTTACCAGACTTTCAAGTAATTGACAACTATATATACCATCGGACTTGTTTTCCCTCTTCAGAAAACCAAGATGAGGATTGGAAATTATTCGTCCCATCAGAGCTTAGGGATGAAGTGATTCGATCCAATCATGACCAACCATCGTCTGCTCATTGCGGAGTCGCTAAGTGCTTAGAAAGAATTCGACGTAGCTTCTACTGGCCACGACTGGCTACAGACGTGCGGGAATATATAGCTCGATGTGAATTATGTCGAACTTCTAAACATCCGACAGTTGGCCTCAAACCGCCAATGGGAAGCCAAGCGACTAGCGAAAGACCATTCCAGCGTCTTTATGTCGATTTCATAGGACCCTTTCCAAGAACCAAGAAAGGCAACCTTGGCATCTTTATTATACTGGATCATTTTTCAAAGTTTACGTTTTTAAAACCAGTGCGAAAGTTTACTTCCAATGTTATCATTGAGTACTTGAGAGAAGAAATTTTCCCTTGCTATGGCGTTCCGGAAACCATTGTTAGCGACAATGGAAAACAATTTAAGAGCCACGACTTTGAAGAATTTATTTCTAAATACGGAATTAAACATTTGTGTACAGGTGCCTATGCTCCCCAATCAAATGCTGCCGAAAGAGTTAACCGCTCCATTAATGCTGCTCTTCGATCGTATGTGCGGAAAGATCAGCGGGAATGGGACACTTATCTTAGTGCAATCAATTGTGCCCTTCGGAACTCTATACACCAGTCCGTTGGAGCTGTTCCTTATTTGGTTGTGTTTGGTCAACACATGATTACTCACGGCGAAGACTATAAGCTGCTTAAAAATCTTGAATTACTAACCGAAAGCAGTGCCAGAATAACTCGCGAAGACGAATTTTCTAGAATTAGGACAGATATATACAAGAATTTGGAGGAAGCATATACTAAAAATCAACGAGCGTATGACTTGAGAAAACAACTGCGCTCCATTGAAATAGGTGATGAAGTTATTAAAAGGAATTTTCAACTTAGTAATATGGCTTCTCACTTTAACGCTAAGCTAGCACCCGTAGGAATAAAAGCTAGAATTAGACAAAAATTAGGTACAAATATATATAAGTTAGAGGATTTAAATGGAAAAGAATTAGGAAACTTTCATGTAAAAGATATTTGGCAAGCCTAACCATTGTCACCCTTTTTCAACTTTTATCTATACTATGGCAGTAAAGATCAAACCTGTGCTGTGAGGGTGAAGGCAGTTTATGTTTACTTATTTAACAGTTCCATATTTTTCATTCGCGGTCCGTATCAACAAAATTGGACGCGACTGTAAACTGCAAGTAAAAGCTTAAATTAAGAGCATAGCTTAGATAAAGCTCATTATCTATGCAATATATATCGATGCTCATAGATAGCAGCTGATCGATGCATCTAGCTGACAACTCTAATTAGCTTTCATCTAGCTGTCATGCACTTGTCATGCACCTGTCAAATCGAGCTTAATTTTTTCCACCCGCGTTTCCGTTTTGGCCCTTCTCTCATTCTCTTGAGATCTGTGCCCAGCGAAACATCGTGATTACGATATCACATAAAAATATATATATATATAAAACGGCACGTGCAGAAAAATTCGTTCCAACCTCGCCGAACTTCTAAGTGTGCTTTTTCACACAAAGGCATTGGAATTCAAAATAAAGGAGATCTTCTGGAAACCAATATTTTTGTGTTTTGTGTTTCGAAATACTCCGGGTAAGCATTTTGTGAAAAAGTGAGGTTCAAATCGAAAATAAACCTTAGTTTTCTAGCCGGATTATCCGAGCCATCCCGCTCCCGATCGGGCAGCGACACCTTTTATTGAGAGCCAGTAAAACACCAATTAAGTGGCGGCGGCAGCGATCAACGTTTTCCGCCCATTCCGCCTTCTGGCCGGCCACGGCCGCTGGCCCACCTTTCGCCGTTTACATATATATTTGGAGGCTAAAGGAGACACTAGAGACACCAAGAAGGAGGTCGTTTCTTTAGGGGATCTACCCTTCAGCTTTTCACCAGCTATATCGGCGGGCCCCAAAAAGGGCGCTGCGCCATATATTTCTGTGCACTTAACCAACTGCAGGATCATTTGTATCGCCTGCGTTACATTATTTTGTTAATTTTAGTTTATATTTCTTTTAAAGAGAATTTGTACTTATATCTGAATTTGTTTTCATGTGCTGCTGACGAGTTTGGTTTTTCATATATGACTTTAATTTCCACATTTATCAGCCAAGGTCACCGTGAGGTCAACGGGCCCGTCGACATCGAGGGACTGGGTCGTAAGTACGGCATAGCCGACATATAAAAATTTATGAGAAGCCAAGACCAGCACACAGGTTCTTCAGATCGCTCTGAATAGCGATTTTTTGTTCTTTCTTTGTTAAATATTAGGATCTAAGTATGAAAACGACTCTTTTTGAATTTTTATATACCATTATAGAATTAATTGCACATTATATTTTGAGTATAAACTTTATGAAATTATAACGAAATTGAAATCATGAATTATTAGAGTTTTTTTTATTTAGGCACCTTAAGGGTCAACACCTCAGAGGAATTCAATTCGCTAGGAGATAAATAACACCTCAATTCTCTTACAAAATTAGTTCAAGTCGTAATTCCAAGTTTTTCGGGTTTCCTTATTTCCTCCCGATACTCTGTCTACATTTAATTCGAGTAATGGGAATGTCCCAAGAGGAACAAGAACCACGCCATTTTCCCTGAGCACGGCCGGACCCCTTTTTGTAGACAGAGCGTTCCTCGAAGGACCTATACCGTCCGTTACAAGTTATCTGAATGAAACTTTGCATATATATATACTCTCACTGTTTTATATATATGTCGGAACGGGCCGGATCGGACGACTATATCATATAGCTGCCATACAAATGTTCGATAAATTTTTAGGAAAAAAAATTATAGCTTAGCTGTTTTTCAATATTATTCCATCATTTTTGAGATATAGCCATTTTATATTATTCCAGAATTTTCATACAAATTTTATGAAAATTGGTCCACTTTATCTTATAGCTGCCATAGGAACGATCGGGAAATTAATCGAAAATAAATTATAACTTCGTTGTTTTTCAACGTATTTTAATCAACTTTGAGACATGAGCTTCTGGTATTATTTCAAAATTTTTGTATAAATTTTATGAAAATTGTACGACTATATCTTATAGCTGCCATAGGAAAGAAAGGGAAAGTAATAGAACAAATTATAACTTCGTTGTTTTTCAACGTATTTTCATCTAATCTGAGATATGAGAATTTTGGTATAAATTTTATGAAAATCGGACAACTATATCATATAGCTGCCATAGAAGCGATCCGTAGATGTAAAGAATGTAAAGCTGGGAATGTACAATTGTAAAATGTTATGAAACTCTGTTTAGTGTCTGTTTTCGGCATTATAATTTATAATTTGAATATGAAAACCAATCTGCAAGGGTATACAAACTTCGGCGTGCCGAAGTTAGCTTCCTTTCTTGTTTGTATTAATTATACAATTTGTATACAATTTGTAATACATTATTATTGCTGGGTCAAATTACAACAAGGGCATACAAAATTCGTCTTGGCGTTGCCAGTTTTTTTGTAACTTTTATTATTGACAGTTTATCTGTACTGGTGCACTTGATAAATCGATATTTTTGTTCACGTTTCGACCTGTCCAAGCAGTCAATCGAATGCTGGCATGTGATATTTAGACTCTGAAGGTATAATTGGACATCAGAGCTCGTTAAAAAATTGTATATAAGGTGGTAGCTTCAGCTCTTGACTATTACTTTTGGTCATGTAAAATGGTGAAGTTCAACGCTGTATTTGGCCTGCTGCTATATACGGTGTGTCATCCAGTAGGGACCAGGCTGGCATATCAAGCCTGCAACGAGCCTGATATAGCAATTGGTTCGTACGCCTGTTAATACCTTGCCAAATTCCAATACAACTTAATTAGAGGTCTGCAGCGCTCTCCCAAATCATCAGCGGTCTGCGACCTCGCCCACTGGCCATCTTGGCTCTTCCGGGATTGACTTTAAGTAATAAAAGCTGCCAAGACGATCCCAGTGGCATTCAAGTGAACGACTTCCTGCAGCAACTACATCAACTCTACTACAAGTCAGTAATCTTCAATGATACGGAACTATTCTTTCATCATGTTGAGAAAAATCTCCATGGCGCCATTGAATGCGTAAACCTGATTCTAGATAAACCAAAGGAGATATTACTCCGCCTCCGTCAGCGTCGCCTGGCACACCGTCTTAGCCTTTTCATATTCTACTGGGGAGCCCGTTGGCCACCAAGCCCGCATATTTTAAAGTTCGAGGAGCCAATGCGCGTAGTGGTAGTCACCCGGCCCCGTCATAAAGCCTTCCGCATCTACTACAATCAGGCTCGTCCTGGTAGCGAAAGCCAATTGCGTTTGGTAAATTGGTATGATGGCGATAATCTAGGACTGCAGCGAATCCCTCTGCTTCCGGCCGCTTCATCCGTATACGCAAACTTTGAGGGTCGTGTTTTCACTGTTCCAGTATTTCATGTAGAGTAATTTTGTAGAATATGTGACAAATGAAAGGAGGATGATGGATGTAATTGCTTGCAGTCCCCGCCATGGTTCTGGGTCACATATGGTAATAATTCCAGCGATACGGACGCAGAGCTTTTAAATCTTGACAGCACAGATTATAATGAGATGCGAGTTACTGGCGGACGTGACCACCGTCTGCTAATGCTATTGGCCCAGCATATGAATTTCCGGTTCAAGTACGTTGAGGCTCCCGGACGTACACAAGGCTCACTGAGATCCGATGATGCTAAGGAGTTAAATGACACCTTCACCGGAGGCATTGGTCTGCTTCAGAGCGGTGTGAGTAGCCTCAGACGGGACCCGTAGCACCATGATGTTCCATCGTGTTCTTTCAGAAGCAAGCGGATTTTTTTTTGGGCGATGTTGGTCTCAGCTGGGAGCGTCGAAAGGCTATTGAATTCTCGTTCTTTACCTTAGCTGATTCGGGAGCTTTTGCCACCCATGCACCTCGTCGTCTTAATGAGGCCTTAGCCATTATGCGTCCCTTTAAGAAGGACATTTGGCCATATCTTATCCTTACAATCGTTTTCTCCGGACCCATATTTTATGGTATTATCACTATGCCATATATATGGCGTCGACATCATGCGAACTTAGATGTAGAACAGCTTAGGTACAAGTGCATCTACATGACCTACATAAAAGAAATTACCCCAGGCCTTGTAAAAGTCAAGAGAAGGAAGGTCAAGGTCAGGGTTTCACAGCAAATACCGAATCAACTCTTTGAAAAGTGTATTTGGTTCACTTTACGTTTATTCCTAAAACAATGTAAGTATATAGCTGGTGCCTATAAGGTATTATAACTATGTGTCTACCAGGATTCTATGTTCCAAGCAGAAGGAGCTATGTTCGACTCCATAAAGTATATAGTATCTCGTATGATTTCAATATTAAAATTTGCTTAATGATGACTAATCCTTTGTGAATTAATTAATCATTTTTCCTCAGCATGTCAAGAACTTTATCATGGGTATAGAGCTAAATTTCTGACAATTGTTTACTGGATTGCTGCAACCTATGTCCTGGCTGACGTCTATTCTGCTCAACTTACCAGCCAGTTTGCTAGGCCAGCCCGAGAGACTCCAATCGATACGCTTCAACGTCTGCAGGCGGCAATGATCCGTGACGGATATAGTTTATATGTGGAAAAAGAGAGTAGCTCCTTGGAAATGCTGGAAAACGGAACTGAGCTCTTTCGGCATCTATATGCCCTAATGAGACAGCAGCATCCTGACGGTCGACAGAGCTTTCTCATTGACTCGGTGGAGGCGGGAATCCAGTTAATCGCAAAAGGCGGTGAAGATAAGGCGGTTCTAGGAGGAAGGGAGACACTTTACTTTAATATCCAGCAGTACGGTGCGCAAAATTTCCAACTCAGTCATAAACTCTACACGCGGTATTCGGCTGTGGCCGTGCAAATCGGCTGCCCCTTCCTGGATAGTCTAAACGATGTGTAAGTACATTTTTATTTATTTGCTCTCCTACAATCAATCAATAATCTTTGACCTTAAATTTAAGCCTAGTACTATGACGACGAAAATCCGCTGTAACACGTGTTACAGCGGCCAAACTCCATAAAAAAAACGGTGTTAAAAAAAGGAAGAAGAAATTTGTGCCTCGTCGATTTTGCCGGTACTCTGACGACGAAAATGATGCCTGTTCAAATTGAATGGCGTTGCCAGATCAAGATCAGCTGATCTCGGGGTGTAACAATAATTCATTTGATTTAGTCTTACACCACTAATGGAGGGAAAGTTGAAGGAAAAAAGTGGCATTAATAAGGGCTGTCAAGGCGAAGCCAATAGTATGGAATTTAACCCACAAAGGACCTGCCATATTTATTAATATTTTCAATATTTTTTTTGAATATTTGTTTACAAACAGCTGTCCAGTGTGACCAAAGAAAAGCCTTAAACGCCATAAAAGGTACATTTTCATGGCGTTTCATGGCTTTTCCTTATCACACGTGTTACAGCGGATTTTCGTCGTCAGAGTAAGGGGCTTTAAAGCCTAGGCTTTAACAATGTAACACGTGTGATTTTTCGGTACATTAAATTTTGCTTTTTAACATTACTCGAAGAATGCAAGATCTATCTATCTAAATCTATCTAAAAAAAAATCTATCTTAAAAAATTATAAATTGATTGCATGAAAATATTTCATCACGTTTCACTGAACTGGTTTTTTGAAAAAGTGACTTATGCACAGTCGCATGCTAATGCCTTACATTGTTGTAATAATCTTGAAAGTGGACAATATATTTAAAAAATAAAATAAGGATATTTAAAAAAAAATTATATGTTAGGTTTATATATACCTCCGAAGCTACATTTCTTTCTATATGTAATTTGTTTTTAATTTATTTCAAATAATACAAATATTTTGATTAACTCTCTTGGCAAACTTGTTCAAGCCTTATGCACTTGTTTGAAGGCGGTATTCTTGAAAAGATTACCAGTGCTGAGTATGCTGCGCAGTCCCGGAAAATACCCAAGGACAAAGTCCAGCAGTCTACTGAACAGACGACCGTGCAGGTTGTAAAGGACACCGTAAATGAAAAGAGCAACGGGGTTCGAAATCATTCCCCAAGTCAAAGCAGCGAGGTCATTAGTCCGCTTAACCTACGCATGCTGCAAGGCGCCTTCATCGTCCTGGGAGTGGGCTCACTGACTGCAGGTGGCAATATATAAAAATATTAATCTTGAGCTTAGCTAAAACTTGTTTTCTTTTTAGGTTCGATATTTCTTTTAGAGATTGTTTTTCGACGACTCGCCTTTGTACAGAAAATAAAGCACTTGTGGTTGCACTCCCTTCGCCAATGCTTCAAAAATTGGGGACGATTTCTCCTCTGGACTGAGAGAGTATTTGCTCCTCGTTGGCGAAACAATCGAAATTGATTTAATACAGCCATATTTTGATGTCAACATTATAAGTAAAGTCGTTAGAGAGGTTATGGTATAAGTGATAAGGCCCTTCCTTGGGCCTCCAATGGCTCCATATTGGTCAAAGAAAATTATATATCTAGATATATTCAAAGAAAAATAACAAACCTATTGTTAACTTTAAAAATAAAATTACCGAAGTTCAAAACGCTTTATGGTTGTTGCCATATACTTACATTTGCACTTTGAATGTTAAAGTACCTATTTCTAGTTCCTTCAAAGGTAGCTAAAGTATGTTACTACTTTTTATAACTGTCTTCATAAATTTAATAAAAATCGTAAGTATGAATCAGAATTATACAAAATCAAGAAAGGAAGGTAATTATTTAAAACTAGAGGACCCGGCGAACTTTGTCTCGCCCCAATTTCACGACTTGATTGTTTGGTTAAGTTTTCGATAGTCGCAACAAAATCTCTTCGATCCATCTTTTTTTGAGACCAGTACTACAGGTGATGCATACTCTGAGCAACTTGGTAAAATTATTCCCTCTGAAAGCCATTCCTGCACCTGCTTGTCTATGAAACATTTGTACTCGTTCGAAGTGCGTCGCGGGCGTTGATAAACAGTAACATCATCTTCCAATATGATCTTCATATTAACCGGTTACGGTTACGGTTATTAGGGTACGTTAGGTTAGACCGAACGGCCCTCGAGGGTCCACACATAGGCCATTATGGCCCATAGCTATCCGGGGAAACTCCTGGATGGACCTAGAGACTATTTATGCGGGTTTCGAGATCCATGAATATCAAGGTGTTTTTCGCAAAGGCAAGGAGTACGGTAGCTTATACGACAGCCTCATTTCAGGGTCTGAACAGAATATTCCCGCTCCAACTCCTCCTTCCATCTTGGAGCCGTCGGTGTATATATTGAGGTATTGAGCATGGTCCTGGCCTGACTTCCAGTCATTTGGTCCCATGAATACTGTTGTGTTTACATCCAGGCACGTTCTGGGTATCATGTATACATATACATCTGACTGTACTGCTCATGTCTCGACCAATTGAACTGTGCCCGAAACCTTGTAGTGACCAGTTTCCTGATGCAACCAGACGTTGTGCCGCCTTTCCTGCTGTCAGTTGCGCTTGGATATCTAGGAGATATATACCGATTATGGTTTCGAATGCTTTACTGGGGGTTGACCTCAACGCCCCTGATATGCAGAGCAGTACCTGCCGCTGGGTTCTCTCCATAAGCTTATTATACGTTATCTTCTCCATGGCTTGCCACCACACTAAGACTCCATACAGCAGAGTCAGACGCACCACCGATATGTAGACCCAATGCATTAGAGCGGGTGAGAGGCCCCATATGCTGCTAAGCATCTTCGTGGATGCATATAGCGCTATGGAAGCCTTTTTTACCCTCTCTACTACATTGGCCTTCCACGTCAGCTTGCTGTCAAGTACAATGCCGTGGTATTTGACTTGTGTTTTCGGGGTCAGCCTGGTTTTGTTAATTTTCGGGGGGATCCATTGCGGCACCTTGTATCTCTTGGTGAAGAGAATAAGGTCCGTCTTATCCACATTGATATTAAGTCCTACCTTCTCCGCCCACTCACATATCTCCCTGAGTGTTGTTTCCATGATCAAGCTGAGGGTCGATGGACAGACTCCCGTGATAATTATGCTTATGTCATCCGCATAAGCTGTTATCTTTGGTGCTTTCCTCTCGAATCTCTTGATGAGGTCGTCTACCACCAGATTCCATAGGAGGGGCGACAGAACCCCACCTTGCGGCGTGCCTCTGTGCGGTCCTCTCACCATGGAAGCGGTGCCCCAATCTGATTGTACCCGCCGGCAACTTAGAAGATTTCTTATCCACAAGTTGATAGCACGTGTTGGTCGCTTCAAGGCGATCCATTATTGCGTCCGTGCTAACATTGTTGAATGTCCACGAACACTCCAAGAGCATATTCCTTATTGTTTAGGGCTCTCTCAATTGTGGCTACCAACGAATGTAGTCCCGTCTCCATTGATTTCCCCTACGTGTAGGCGGGCTAGTTGGTCGACAGTAGTCTCCCTACATCGTTCCTGATGTATAAGTCCAGCAGCTTTTTAGCGTTTTAAGTAGAAATGAGGTGAGGCTTATCGGTCTGTAATCCATGGGGCTCACGTGGCTGTACTTTCCTGCTTTGGGCAGGAAGACAATCCGAGAGGTCCTCCATTGGATAGGGATATAGCCCGTGCTTAAACAAGCTTCATATATTGCGTAGAGCCATGGAGTGATCACATAGTATACATAGCTTCGAATAAGAAAATATTGATGCTTGCTCATGTTTGCCTTTATGAGAAGTGATAGGACTTCATCGATGTTAGCTTTGCTACACTTTGCATTTAATTGAAAGTTGCTCGATCGTAAATCACAAGCTGCAGATTCATTAGTTGTTGAAAGTTGAGAAGTTCTTCGTCTCTTAGTTCTTTTTGATGACTCACTCATCTCGGACACGTAGCCAATGTTATCTGAATTGGACTGGGCGGAATATATCCCAAAATGTATTCGTCCTCTTCGGGGGGATGGTCGGTGGCCGCTGGAATTGTTGGTAGGCTGGCTGCAGAATCCCAAGAAGTAAACCACGTAGAAGGCTTCACAGACTTCAGTTTTATATCTAGCACTTCTAATTTAAAACTAAGTTATATCAATATATAGCAAGAGAAAGGGAGACGAGTAGAAAAGAGGAGACCGAGCGGGAGCAAAAGCTTGATCGCAAGCGCTGGCCGCTTACACTGCCGCTCAGAAATTCGCGCCCTTCTGGCGTGAATATGATCGATGACCTTCCGTAACTTTTCTGCATTGGTGCCGATTGCTGTACACCAATAATTAAATATGTACAAGCGAGTGAAGACACATTGAGAAGAGTCACATACAGAAATATGAATAAAGAAATAAAGCATTAAAAATTAATTAATAAATAATTAATTAATTAATTAATAATTAATGAATTAATTAATAATTAATTTGAACCTAATAAACACAAAACACAAAAGACGAACACAAAGACACAGCACATACAATGCAAAACAATGTTGATTACGCACACATCTGCAAATATCTGCAGCTAGCTTGAACTTTTTTATAGCTTAAGATATTAAGAAATACACTGAAAATGATCACAGTTAAGACTTTAAACTAAACATAAAGAGACAAATACAAAAAATACTACAATTTTTAATAAAATAAATAATTAATTTCATAAAACCGACAACACAAGTTAGTTTTAATTAATATTGATACTTAAAAATAATACCTTTAACTTAAAAATAAATTTTATATAATTAAAATTGGGCAGCGAAATTAGTTGACTGAACACTTTGAAGTTGGCTTCTGTTGTAAAATATTCGCGATGCGCGCAGCTGCGCGTTGCAAATAAACACGATTTCACAACTTCAGTTCTCTTTTTAGAAAGTCCAGTTAGAAATCCAGAAAAATCCGGCTTGATATGAAGAAGCTTGGTCATTTTAGAGGCGATTTGGTTACTTTCGCCAATTTTTGTTGTAATAATTTTTTTGTTTGAGCTAAGGGCGCAACCACTGTGCGATAATACCCCCTTATTAAAAAAAATATATAGACCTGTTGAAATAGCAAGGACTAATATTATTAATGCAAGAGAAATTCTGTTTAATACTTTCAAACGTTACTTATATTTAGCTATGGTTTTGATGGATCTACTAGTCACAGTTTCACAAAAATAAAGAATTGTAGAGTCAATCATTAGTTGATTTTCTTTATATCGCGCTTAAATTTTCAATACCCTATAAATTCTGAGAAATTCAAAATATTCAGTTCTGAAACTTCCACAATGTACTGTGACACATGGATACATTGACCATTGAAAAATAAATGAAAAATCAAACTCCTTATCAGAAAGTGCATCAGAAGCAAGACACAAACTTTTCAAGGCTGACAGAAAAAAACATATCATGCAAGAAAATGTAGCCGGGTTAATAATATGTGTCAGATGTGTTTTACAGAGTTATGAATTCGTTTGATCAGTTACTATCTAGTTTATGCATTACAAAAACCAACAAGACGAGCCTGCCAGCAGAGGTTGTCGATCTTTTGGATTCGCCAATCATATCGTTAGGTGTTGTCGTCAAACGGAGATGATACGTAGAGATGAAGAACATGATAACGATGATGGATGTGATACTTTTGAAATTGACTTTGAGGAAGAGGTACAAGACGATACTAGGTTAGGTTAGACCTAACGGCCCTCACGGGGCCATGCATAGGCCAATATGGCCCTTAGTTGTCCGGAAAATTTTTGGATGGACCTAGAGACCATTAACTAGGGATTCAAGGTCCTCAAAGATCGAGGTGTTTTTCGCAAAGGCAAGTAGTTCACCTGGCTTCCTCCTGGAGGCATCTGTAGGTATCTTATCCTTGGCCACGTTAAGGCCGAACATTTTCAAATGAGACGCTCCAAGGTTTCGGTTGCCTCGGATTCATCACATTTCCGGCACTTGGCGTTGTCGGTAATACCCAGCTTGCATGTCCAGTAGACCTGTTAGAATTCCCACTGTTTGGAGGGGGGCGGCTTTATCCTGAAATGCACTCGATAAATAATAACACGTAGACTGTTCGGAGTTTTACGCGTGCGTCAAAACCTAAAACAAGGCTTGGAAGCTCTATGGACTGGAAGTCCGGAGGGAGAGGGAGAGGAAGAGAGGGCTTACGGGATCATTGGAGGCAGGTAGCGGGATCACACTTGGACTCGGCAGAGAGAAGTGTTGTTGTTGGACTCGAAAATCGGCAGGGAGATTCTAACTACAATTTATATAGAGGAACTTGGGCTACCTGGTTCCCAAAAATTGACTTCGCTGCCGATTACGAGCTTAACTCGTACCCAATCGCAGCCGGCTGCCGAGTGATTGTGGGCTGTAACCCGCTTTATATATGGCCCGGCATAGTCTTGTGTGACCCTTTTCTCACGATGTGCGGCGCGCCCGCCCTTTCATTTCAGATCTTTTTTACCTTGATTTTCCTATGTCGCTAATTGTTTCTATTCTTTATCCTAATGAGTCATACATTAGTTACATAAGTAGAGCAACCGTAAATTGTTTAGGTCCGGGGCTTACCTTACCGCCTCTGCTCACAGACCTTTTCGAGCTCGTCCGCTCTCGCCCCTATTGCGCTTCCGCGCTCTCTCTTTCGTGTGCTCCCGCGCTCCAGAGCTCGGCCTTCAAAATCCGCGGTCAGCCGCCGTCGATATCCCGCTTTCGCTTCAGCGGTGTAAAGCGGGCTGTTACATATGTATATGCAGACGAATAGTGCTGACGAACCTTTACCTGAATTATCCCATGACGCCCTCGCCCTTTTTTTTTGCTAACCTTAACGGGTTGTTCGTTCTGCGCCGTGTAAGTTATATTTCTAGAAAAATTAATTTAAGACAAAATTCGTTAAAGTTGATTTTTTTTAATCATTACCCCTGACTTATGACTATTGACCACATATAATATCACGTGCAGGATGGTACTACAAGCAGAAGTATTCCCATTCTTCATATATCGCTAAAATGTTTAGTTCCGTTTGAATGGACGTGACTAAGAGTTCAAACATCTTAGAAACTTTCGTCCAAGGCATGTTCCAAGTCGTATCGAAGCATTTTTTCTATTATCTTATTATTAATCACCTCTTTCACATTGGATGACCAAAGAAAGTCGTAATGGTTCCAGTCGGAGTACGGAATTCGATAAAGTTCGGCGCAGGGTAACAATGTGGCTAGGAACTCCACGTCCTCCACCGCTGACATATAGTCATTGTCGCTGTAATACATGTCGACGCAACTTTTGATGTTTTGAACATTATAGGAAGGTGGCGTAGCCTGCTGGTAGATTATTTCATTTTGCTCACGTCCGTAGTCGTACTGCCGAAAATCGCCTGAGGTGTAAAGCTGCAGATAGTGGATAATCTGACTGGTAGATGCCCCAGCCGGGTGGGTGGCACAGACGTCTGTAAGCAATGTCTGGAACAGGATAAGTTAGACTAAAAACTAACAAAGGTAACCTTTCTCACCTGGTTTAGATGCTGAGTGCCCCAGCCTCCGATAAAGTCCAGTAGCCCTGAGCACAGAAACTGAAACATTGATCCCTCAGAGCAGACATGCTCACACATCAGCTTCTGCACGCCTGTAATGGGTAGCAGCTCCATGCTTCCAAGCACTGAGCTTAGAAAGGAGGGTGAGCCCAGGAAGATGCGGCCCAACTTGGACAGAATAAAGGAGTGGTTGCGCATATAAGCGATGGGCGCCAATAAGTGCACGGAACGTACTTTCTCGTTATACAGAGGTAGAGTAGACATCAAAACGAAAAACGTGGTGGTGCCCTGCGAGTGTGCCACAAAGTGCAGTGAGCTGGAGTTGCTCTCCTCCAATGCATAGTCCAACATGGCCGCTAGGTCATAGACCCCAATTTCATGCCAGCTGAAACGCCAGAAATCTGATGTATCCGGGTGGATGTGCTTGTGCTGGCGAGAGTATGTGTTGCCCCGAGCGTTTCCCAGCCATACGTCATAGCCGGCGTCAGCAAACATGTACGCCAGAGACGTTTCTGGTCCATTGATAATCCAGTCGTCGGAAGCGCATAGGATGCCATGTTGCAGAAAAACAACAGGTCTTTTAAGAGAGTCATTTGACTGCTGATGCTTTGGTGATGTGGGTATGCGGTAAATGGTCAGGATGTAGTCATCTGGCGTGTGTACTGTGTGCTCTTCCACCGGATAATTATGGTTTGTTATAAGCAAAGCCTGAAAAATTTGTCACTGTAGTCAAATCGTAATAGAAAATAGTAAGTATGTATTTCTTTAGTATTAGTATTTATTTACAATTTCGGCGCAATTAATTTTTATATTTAAAGTTTTTCATTAAGCAAAATAAAGTATGGCTTTAAATATTTATAAACACGAATGGAAAATAGCTTGCGCAAGCCAATGTTTATATACTTTTGCAAATATTACAATAACACTCAGAGAACATTTCTCTTCTTTTATTTTTTAGGTTTCTGTTATTTATTTTCTTTCTGGTCTTTTTAAAAACTTTTTTATATTTATTTATTATTAAGAAAAGCAAATATCTGTAAATTTAAATCTATATCCTTACCTCTGACCGGATTAAGAGTGTTTTTTAACGATATGCTCCGACTCACATCAGGTGGCCAGAGGCAAGGATAGGTGTCTTAAGATTTGTTAATACCCTTGCAGGGTATTAAAATTTCAGTCAGAAATTTACAACGCAGTTGCAGACCTTTCCGACCCTATAAAGTATACATATTCTTGATCAGCATCAACAGCCGAGTCGATCTAGCCATGTCCGTCTATCTGTTTCTACGCAAACTAGTCCCTCAGTTTTAAAGCTATCTGAATGAAACTTTGCATATTGTCTTCTATATACTCTCACTGCTATATATGTCGGAACGGGCTGGATCGGACGACTATATCATATAGCTGCCCTACAAATGTTCGATAAATTTTTATATCATTTTTGAGATTTAGCCATTTAATATTATTTCAGAATTTCGGTTTAATTTTTAGGAAAATCGGACGACTATGTCCTATAGCTGCCATAGGAACGATCGGGAAATTAATAGAAAACAAGAAAGGAAGCTAACTTCGGCACGCCGAAGTTTGTATACCCTTGCAGATTGGTTTTGATGTTTATATTATAGATTTAAATGCTGAGTACACTCACAAAACAAAGTTTCATTACATGTTACCTATACTTATTATGTTTACAGTTTGACAGTTACAGTTTTACATTCCCAGCTTTACATATTTTATACATTTACCGATCGCTTCTATGGCAGCTATATGATATAGTTGCCCGATTTTTATGAAATTTATACCAAATATCTAGAATAACAAGAAAACCCGGCACACCGAAGTTTGTATACCCTTGCAGATTGGTTTTGATGTTTATATTATAAATTTAAATGCTGAAAACACTTCACACTTTCATTACATTTTACCTATACTTATTATGTTTACAGTTTGACAGTTACAGTTTTACATTCCCAGCTTTACATTTTCTCCACATTTACAGATCGTTTATATGACAGCTATATGATATAGTTGTCCGATTTTCATAAAATGTTTACCAAAATTCTGAAATAATAAAATAAGCTTATATATAAAAGTAGATAAGAATATGTTGAAAAACAACGAAGTTATAATTTTTTTCCTATTCATTTTCCGATCCTTCCTATGCACTATGGTTTTTTTCGCGTTTTTTTTGGCATAAACTCTAATTTTAAACCTATTGATCTGTATGTATGTATGTATACATTTTTTAAGCTTCTATGATAGCCTACCAAATTTCAAATGATTTGGGGCACTATTTCATATAGCTGCCATATAACCGATCTGGCCGATTTGCACCAACTTTTTTGTTTTTCAAGCTATTGCTTTGAAATTTGGTTTGTATACATTTTTTAAGCTCCCAAGATGACCTACCAAGTTTCAAATGATTTGGGTATATTTAAAAAAAAAATTTTTTTTTGGCGAATGGGCCAGATCTGTTATATGGCAGCTATATGAAATAGTGCCCCAAATCATTTGAAACTTGGTAGGTCTTCTTGAAAGCTTAAAAAAGGTATTCAAACGAAATTTCAATACAATAGACCTAAAATTGGAGTTTATAGCAAAAAAAAAAAAAACGGAAAAAAACCATACTGATATGGTACTAGAAAATGTTGATTTTTTCGAAAACGTGTGGATTCGGACAAAAACGGTTAGTTTCTCATTAATCTGCACACTTTGGTTAATAGTTTCTCATTTACAACTTTTTGCAACTCTTTGCCATGCAAAAGTACTGATCCACGAAACACAGCTACACTTGTTAAGCTCGCTCTAAAAATACACGTAAACAAAAGACGGTACAATTGGACAAAAACACATAATAACGACAGAAACATTAGTAAACTTTAGTTTTATATACCTGGACAATCGTTTTCCATATTTATTCATTTAACTTCTTCGTAAACTTTTGCCACAACAAACTATCAAAGTCGCACAATTTTTCGCGCCAATTTCATACAAAACAGCTGCTACATAATCAGCTGACTTTAACAGCTGGCCAGCAGAACAGTGTTGCTCCATATGTTAAAGTTACATATTTTTTTATTTGTCTAGGGTATTTAAAAATTAAAAATAAAAAAAAATTTAAGATACATAAAAATAAAAAAATTGACTTTATGCCAAAAAAAACGCGAAAAAACCATAGTGCTATGGCAGCTATAAGATATAGTCGTCCGATTTTCATAACATTTTTACCAAAATTCTGTAATAATATAAAATGGCTATATCTCAAAAATGATGCAAAAATATTGAAAAACTGCCAAGTTATAATTTTTTTTCTAAAAATTTATCGAACATTTGTATGGGAGCTATATGATATAGTCGTCCGATCCGGCCCGTTCCGACATATATAGCAGTGAGAGTATATAGAACACTCTATGCAGATCTCTAGTTTGCGTAGAAACAGACAGACGGACAGATGGGCAGACGGACAGACGGACAGACGGACAGACGGACATGGCTAGATCGACTCGGCTGTTGATGCTGATCAAGAATATATATACTTTATAGGGTCGGAAACGTCTCCTTCACTGCGTTGCAAACTTCTGACTGAAATTATAATACCCTGCAAGGGTATAATAAAACAAGAAAGGAAGCTAACTTCGGCACGCCGAAGTTTGTATACCCTTGCAGATATTATTTCATTGCATTTTACCTATACTTATTATGTTGAGAGTTTGACAGTTACAGTTTTACATTCCCAGTTTTACATTTTCCCTACACCTACCGATCGGTTTATATGGCAGCTATATGATATAGTTGTCCGATTTTCATAAAATTTATACCAAAATTCTGAACTAATAAAATAAGCTTATATCCCAGAGTAGAAAAAAATAGTTTGAAAAACAACGAAGTTATAATTTTTTTCTATTAATTTCCTGATCGTTCCTATGGCAGCTATATGATATAGTCGTCCGATTTTCATAAAATTTTTACCAAAATTCAGAAATAATATAAAATGATCATATGTCAAAAATAGTGCACATATGTTGAAAAACAGCCAAGTTATAATTTTTTTTCTAAAAATTTATCGAACATTTGTATGGCAGCTATATGATATAGTCGTCCGATCCGGCCCGTTCCGACATATATAGCAGTGAGAGCATATAGAAGACTATATGCAAAGTTTCATTCAGATAGCTTTAAAACTGAGGGACTAGTTTGCGTAGAAACAGACAGACGGACAGACAGACAGACAGACAGACGGACAGACGGACAGACGGACAGACGGACATGGCTAGATCGACTCGGCTGTTGATGCTGATCAAGAATATATATACTTTATAGGGTCGGAAACGTCTCCTTCACTGCGTTGCAAACTTCTGACTGAAATTATAATACCCTGCAAGGGTATAAAAAGCTTATATCTCAGAGTAGATAAAAATACGTTGAAAAACAACGAAGTTATAGTTTTTTTCCTATTAATTTCCCGATTTTCATGAAATTTTTACCGAAATTCTGAAATAATATAAAATGGCGATATAATAATCATGCATAAATGTTGATAAACAGCCAAGTTATAATTTTTTTCTAAAAATTTATCGAACATTTGTATGGCAGCTATATGATATAGTCGTCCGATCCGGCCCGTTCCGACATATATAGCAGTGAGAGTATATAGAAGACCATATGCAAAGTTTCATTCAGATAACTTTAAAACTGAGGGACTAGTTTGCGTAGAAACAGACAGACGGACAGACGGACATGGCTAGATCGACTCGGCTGTTGATGCTGATCAAGAATATATATACTTTATAGGGTCGGAAACGTCTCCTTCACTGCGTTGCAAACTTCTGACTGAAATTATAATACCCTGCAAGGGTATACAAATTATAACTTCTGATGAGCTTTTGTTATTATTTCAGAATTTTGGTATACATATTTTGAAAATAGGACAACAATATCATATAGCTGACATAGAAGCGATCGGTAAAATGTAATGAAACTCTGTTTTGTGTGTGTTTTCAGCATTTAAATTTATAATATAAATATCAAAACCTAATTATTATATGCTATGTATAAATATAGAACTTTTATATAGTTTCGGATCTAATATAATTTTAAGCAAAAATTCCCGTTTTTTTATTTGGTTAAAAAAAATAATTACGTTTTTATTAGACTTCCCCGTAAATTTCTTATAATTTATATATTACAATAACAATATTGGTAGACCTTTTCAGGAAATGCCCATATGTAGAATAATCACTTTTTCTGAAATATATACATAAGTAAATCGATTTATATATAGCATACAAGAATTTGTTTTGAATAAAAAAAAAATTATGTATAATATAATAGAAATTATTACACTCATAAATTTTTTTACCTAAAATCGCCTTAAAAAAAATCTTTTTATGTACCAAAGTAATAACAACTTTCATTAAATTTACCTATACATATTATATTTCCAGTTTTACATTCACAGCTTACATTCTTTCCTAAATCTAGCGATCGTTCCTATGGCTCCTATGATATATTCGTCCGATTCGTGATGATTATTGAACGCCGAAGTTCTGAAATAATAAAAAATAGCCATATCGCAAGGAAGATGAAAGTAAGTTGAAATACAGCGCAATTAATTTTGTTTTGTAATTTTCTTATCGTTTCTATGGCAGCTATATGATATGGTCGTAAGATCCTGCCCATTCCGACATATATATCAGTTTTAAAGATAC